TTTTTTTTGAGAGAGGCATTTTAAGGATTACTGTACTTTGAAATGTTTACATTATATATCTGTTTAAGGGCAATATTACATGTTTTATAATTTCAGTAAAGTATATTACATTAGAGTATATAAAACCTAAATGCTATATGAGACCAAAGGGACAGGCACAGCTAATAGAAAATTAGGTAAGTTTTAAGAGCATTTTACCATGATATCTCTTAGGGATGCAGTTCTAAAATAATGGATGGATTTTTATAGTTTTTCTCACTAATGTTGTTCTTCAAAATAGATTTTCTAGATAATGCTATAACTTTCGTTATTTTAAAAATTTAGTGTTGAGATTTACTACTTTCTCTCACATTAATGAAGTCAGTTGGCTAAGGAAAGTAACACATCATTTCTATTAACATTTATCTTTTAAAAGTTCAAAGAAATCTCACTTTATATTGCCCTCCCCTTTGGTAACTAGAACATAGCTTTGTGAAACTAAAAAAAATGTAAATTTGACATCTAGAAAACTCAGTAGCAACACCCCAAAGCATAAGTAACCTTGAAATATCATCTTCATTTGTCTTAATCTTTAAAAATCTTTACATTATTTGTTTACTGTCTCTGCAAAATTCCAATATATTCTAAATATGACTCACAAGAATCCCATTCTGTTTCTATCAATACTCTGCATAACATCACTTGGCTTATAACGCGATGATTTTGTAACAAATGAACTGTAAACCTTTTAAATGATGATTTTATTTGCAATATTAAATAAAAATAGTTCTACTTAGTGATTAAAATTTCTTGGTAAATGCATCTGATATTACCCACGGAATTATTCAGAATGCATTTTATACTCATGTTCTAAGTATTAAGAGATTATTCAGTAAAAAAGGCATATATGTAAATTTAATTCATTTTTGTCCAGGCCTAAACGACTTATTTCTCCCATTTTTTTCTGCTAAGGATTGTTCATTTTTTCGCTTTGCTTTTAATATTTGGCTTAAACACATACATGAGAGAAGAGAGACAAGTAAATTCTCTAAGGACATTTAAAAACACATTTTGCTATGAACGCCATTTTAGAAACTATTTTTAAAAACACATTTTGCTATGAACACCATTTTAGAAACTACTTTTGTCTCACATTTTAAAAATCAAAACATTTAAAAATAACATTAAGCTGGTCTGAGAATACTCGTCATCACGGTATCACGTGCCTATAGCAGTTCATTTAGGATATGGGTATTTGGGTACAGAGATAATTTACCTTTAGAGTTGGCTTCTGGGCTACAAACGAATGGCTCTCGCTTATTGTGATTTGTATTTCTGATCTCTCGAGTGGTATAGATAAAGAAGGTCAAAGTGGTCCCGGATGAAAAGAAACTTTTAAAGCGTTAGGAAAAGTTAATGAATTAGATTTCCTTTCACGGGAAGATATGAGGATTGGGAGATGGACGCCCCTCAGCCAAATCAAGAATATTCGCAGTTGACAGGAAAACTCCAAGTTTCTTTCTCCCACCAGATAAACGCCCTCCCATAGCAGGAGACGGTAATTCGCAGGAACCATTCTATTAGCTCAGAATACGTTTCATACGCAATAAACTTTAAGTGGACTCGACCTGATTTTTGTAGTGTTCGTTTCATGTAGCTCTTTGTGGCTGCTTCGGAATGCTTCTTAGAGAAATATCCCCTTCACTTTACAAAACACGTTTTCC